GTCGTGAACAGAAGCGTTCGTGACCCGAGGTACCACCGTATATGAATGAATGAATGAATGAATACATAAAGGAATGCCATGCAATTCCATATACTGTATGTATGTATGTATGTATATGTGTGTGTGTGTGTGTGTGTGTGTGTGTATATGTGTGTGTGTGTGTATGAATTCCATGCAAGATATAAAATACCCTAGGCATTACATTAATTTTGAGAGTGTTACCCTACTTGAAAGGGTAAGGATTAAAAGTCCCATCTGTTAGGAAAATCCAAGGGAAATCTTACTTGTATTTAACATCATTATTTGAGAAATATCACATGGAATAAGAATACTACATAGTTAACATATTTATTATGTAATGATAATTGATAAATCATCTCATTGATTAATAAAATGATAATTATTTAATATATTAACTAACAAATCTTTGCCTATTGCCATCATAGCAGAGTAACCCACAGTTCATTCAAATGCATTAATCAAGTGCATCAGAGCCAGAATCAAAGTATAATTTGAGAAATAAACAGTAACATATAATCAACATGTAATACCAATTCAGATTTATGCAAAAATATCAGATATTATCATATTGTCTAATAGCACAAACTAAGCATTCTAAACAAATATCAAACATCAAAAGAGAAATTAGGCATCCTTGTCTGTTACTGTACAGAATGAAAAAAATAGATGAAAAAAAGAACATTAACTCTCAGCTTAGGTTGGGAGTGTACATACAGAATCCAGATTCATTTTATACATCCTTTAGGAAATACAAATTAAGCTAAGGTTACATACGTACACTGCCTATAGATTTAATCAAAATTTGATCATATCAAGCAATGTAATTGCAGCTTTGTCTTTTCTGTCTCCTGACAGTGGTGATCCCATGGATGTGCCTCTGATTTGTTGGTATATTTGTCCATCAAACTGAAAAAATAGGTAGTGAGGCAAAACCCCATTGCATTCTAGCACTGAAGATGTTACCTGGCTGGGTAACGAAATGTTTGCAAGAAAACATCCAAGCTTAGAG